TGAAGTCCCCTTGCTTCGAACGTTCCAGATCTCAAGTGCCAGAAAAATGACCGGCTCATTCTAACGCTCCGGACAGTACCTGAATAATTCTGTCTTGCTTTATCTTTACAAGTACCGCTCAGTTCTCATTATCCAGCGCTTATGCGGTCTTGGATGGTGGGGGATATATTTTCCACCCTACAACCTCTTTCGCACAGTCAAAACGTCGCAAACTAATAGCTATTTTACCGCTATTTCTACTGTACATGCTTGGACGAGCCCAATTTTTTCCAGCAGTTCACACCTTTACGGCTAAATTTCGCTTTGCCACGTTCACAGAATAGAAGCACCATCATTACCTCCGTATTTCATTTGTAAGTAGGAAGTTCCAATCCCCAAGAAACGCTGCTTTTTGGAATACAATCGTGTGTCGATGCTTACTCAAATACTACAATCTTAACTTCAAGTCAAGGGTAAATCGTTATTTAGATTTCGTATACACATAATATTTACTTCCTATTTACTATTCTTATATTCATATCACATAACTTCTTCAATAATACTCTACCTTATGTTACTCTCGTGCCTCGGGAACATTAGTCAAAAAGAAGTGGCAAGTTGTTTAAATTCATCAACAGTTGTAAAGATCTTAAATCCGTTCCAACACGCCAGTGGAAAACTTCATGTTTTAACACGATGACCACGGGTTTTGTCAGATGATAAAACCTGTTGGAATTGCTCTTCATTGACTCTGGGCACCCTACGATTTTACACAGAGATAATAATATATTCCAGATATTCCCAAACTATGCGCCTCGGGGTGCCAATGTTAGTTCTAAGGGGAGCCGTTGGGTTGTTATTCTTTAGGGGAATCTAGTAAATTGGCTCTAAAGTGAGTGTTCGATTTACATTAATATAAAACTGGACCCATTTTTAGGCCCTTGTTTTAAAATTGTCAAGGAGTCAAACCCTTTAGTCAATCGACGAGGTTAGATTTTCTTTCCTCTTGCGACGCCTTTTTCATGTGAGATGAATACCAGCCTTATTCATGTTTGTGTCCGTTTCTTCCACAGAGACAGAGCATGTGACTTTTCAGCACTACCCGACCCAAAAATTGAACAGAAAACTGATAGGAAAACATTTTCCACTAGGTTCTACGTCACTTGAATAATCTAGGAATTCTGGAAGCTTAAATTTAATTCTTGTACTGCGGTGATGGAATTGTATGAGTGTCTTCACTCAGGAGGTGTATTTTTTTATGGCGGCTTTTCTTTTCCGACTCAAAGTGATAACCTTCTTGGAATAATCTTCACTTCAATTCCCACCATCCATACAGCACAAAGAAAGAGGCCATCTGATGCCCGTGATGCCGTGCAAAGAAATCATAATTGGCAATCCGGTCGCATACAGACAGGAGATGATCTGCAGCAACGATAGCCTTTAGAATAACAACAACACTGGAAACATAAGAAATTCTCCATGAAAAAGAAGAAGCTGAAGCAGAAGGGTTGAAAAGGAGAACTATGGTCTGTCTCCCTTACAAAGGCTTATCGGAAAGGATTCAGAAGATCAGCAGTTCATACAACACCAGGATAATAGAAGTAGTTTGACCCTCTATGGAGAGATTTCTACCGGGTCAAACCTAACACAAATGAGAATGTGAACGAAAAATTATATTTCGTCCCTTGCAGTTGTGGCAAATAACACAAACGTGAAACTATCCACCCGCTTAGAGTAATGCCGAAAGAACGTTGAAAAGATGGAGTTAAGTAAGAGACAATAAAATTAGGCATGGTTAATAATATCTTGAGAGCAAATGCTAGTCACCACACTTGAATTAAATAAAATCCTAGACAGAGAACACTGGAAAGTCGGACCTCTAAAAGAATTCCTGCATATATATGTTTTAAATATGTGACTTTTCTTTCTGTAACGTCCTGTATCTGAGTAATTCAGACGTCCTGAGTATGACGATACACAACATCTGGCAGCAAAGCCTCTGATCAGGAGGTTTTGTGGAGCATGGAACCACCTCTTAAGTGTTGATGTTCCCAGGTTCACCCTGACTCGCGGTGGTAGCACCTGTTAGGGTCCTAGTTATGGGCAAATAGTTACCCCCCTCCCACAAACTGGGGTCAAAGCACTACGAAAATGTAAAAATAGGTTTTAATACCAGCAATACATTTTGGGAAAAAAATAGGTTTTAATACCAGTAATACATTTTGGGAAAAAATATTACCAGAAATACATTTTTCAAAAATAATTACCTGCAATATATTGATTATTTACATTATTCGGACTATTGTCCTCATCTTTGTCACCATATTTATCACAACGTTACGGCCGTTGGACACCCCGGCCTTTTTCAGGTAGTTAGAATGTCGAACTGAACTCTTTATTTCACTCACTGGGGTAGAATGTTCTAGTTCCACATGGCATGTCTAATGGATGTCAGTTAACAGTTATCTCCCGTTAATTCCCCTCTCCAAGTTCTCCAGGTATTAAACTCACACTCTTTGGGTCCTGTCACTGGATCTAACTAACGCCTTTATCCACTGTTCCATGTGTCCTTGAAAACAAATATTGTCAATAATACGTTTTTGGAAAAAAATATTACCAGTAATACATTTGACTCTCGACAAAAACCCTCTTTGCAAAAATACAACAATGAAACCTCATCTACAAACTGATATCTTACAAAGAATACATATTTTATTCATACGGACCTATCCCAAAAATCTTGTTGGCATTAAATAACTCACTATGGTTGATATGCCGTAAAACAAAATAAATCGAACCAAATCTTACCCAGAGCAATATAGATATTGTTAATCTCTGTGCTAAGTCTACTGAGCGGGTTGTGAATGCCTAAACAAGGCGCTGATTCTTTCAATCATTTTATCCTTCGCTGTTTCTTTCAAAACTATTGTTCGCCGAATACAAGGCCCAAGATCCCTTCAAAGTAGTGGATTATATTATATAGAATATCTATAATGAGAAGAGATTAGTGAAAAGAAGGGACAATAAAAGAACAGGATTCAATAGGAAAAAGATGGCGATTGACGTTGCATTTACGCTTTTGAAGATCGTTCGTAACAGGGAAACAAGAAACCGGAAGAGGCTTCCACAGGTGAGAAATGCTAGAAAAGAAACGATTAGAATAGAACTTACTGTTTCATCTAGCGATTTCAACAATAAGACAGTGAGACCTATCTGCCAATCTAGTAGCACGCTTAAATTCATGCGGTTGAGGTACGATGGAAGAGTCAACATTAGAACAATTACCATGAAAATATTTTTTATAAAAGAGATAGGGAAGTCACATGGCGTGGGGAGGAGTAGAAGAAAGAGAAAAGGAAGAGACCTAGACTTTTAGGTCGCTTGTCCGTTTCTACCACGAAACTAGAGTAATCTGCCTTACTAGACCCAGGGATTGAACTCGTAACTTCATGGGAAGTCGAATGAGAAAAATGTAAACACAGGACTAAAAAAAAGAATAAAAGGTTCGAAATTAAATTTCAAGAAGGTTACCGAGTATGGTGACAGACACCTGAAGAAGAGTAGAAGTTGAAACGGTCGAAACATTGTGAGTGTTACGACCAAGATGAACAAACTGGTCCGAATAACAAAGTATATAATAATAATTCCTCGTCTCTAAAATTCAGTCAAAAATTTATTCTTGGAGAAAAAAATAAGGGAAAAAATCGTCACTATTGACATCTATTCATATCCGTCTTTTGCCTTGTGCCAACCTTTGTCAATTTATTTCGAGGAATAATTCTTTCCCATTTTTACTTCGTCTTTAAAGTTACTTCTTTCCTCTTGCTCTCCAGAGAAAATATCTTTCGAAAAACCGTCTATTTATCCAACACTTGTTCATTTTCTTTTATCTCTTAACTGGAATAGGAATAAACAAACGATAAAATTCATTCCAACAACAGTTGGATCGGGCTAGTCAAGGGAACTTTTTTTGTTATTCGTCTTTTCTTTTCTTTTTCTTTTTTTGCAACAAAAGACATGAAGTGGAAGGAATGATGAATACAAGCATGATAAGATGATCTGGGTAGATACGAGAAGCGCTGAATGACGTCACAACTCAAGTGACGTAAACGCGCAACCGCTGACACTGTCGATTCACTTAGGAAAAAGAAAACGAACGAAACTACTCTTCTTGAATTCAATGGAAGATATCTCGTTATTAACGGCTGTTTCATTGGCCGAAATAACTCCAGGTCATCATCAATAGCCATAGAATGTTCTTGCTATGTGCGTAATAGCTGCAACAGTGGCAATAATTACTTCCATTACTGCTAATAAGGTCTTAACGCCTGACGGGAAGGATGACCAATCAGCGTGCTTGATCGAATGGGAACCATTGTTGAAACGGTGTCCGCGTAATTTATGCCATCTGCTATTTTTGTTCCCCGGATTGAACGTAACCACTTTGTTTTATGGATAATAAAAATGACAACAATCAACAGTTGCTAGGCAGTGAACAAAATTATTTGTTTGCCAATACTTTTTCACTGAAAACCTAATCTGCAGATTTTCTCTCACTTTCTGTAGAATATCCGCAAAGGATGAGTATACATGTCGCGTCGGTTATTTTAAACGCTTTAAAATATATATATATATATATATATATATATATATGTGTGTGTGTGTGTGTGTGTGTGTGTGTGTGCGTGCGTGCGTGTATATATATATATATATATATATATATATATATATATATATATATATATATATATATATATATATATATAGAGAGAGAGAGAGAGAGAGGTTTATAACTCTTGTGAGCAGTGTTCCGCGAAACAATGAAGTCGGTCGAGAGATAAGACGATTGAATTAATTTTTATTGAACGCTACACTGAGCACTTTCTGGGCAAAAATTCTACTATTTAAAATACGTTGAATTCTAGTCATTTTTGCGTATTTCGATAGCAGTATGCTTCATTTGTATTATTATTATTATCTTTCGATAGCTGCGTGGTTGATGCCTATTATTATTATTATTATTACACACAAATAGATAGATAGATAGATAGATAGATAGATAGATAGATAGATAGATAGATAAAGCTAAGCATCTTAGTGGCTTTATTACCTTCAATGGATTGAAATGATTATAAAAAAAATATAGATATAAATTAACAGAACAGGATAGATTGATATGAACAGAATGATGTAGAGATAGATAGATAGATAGATAGATAACCGTGTAGTTGATGCGTATTATTAGTAGTAGTTGTAGTAGGAAAGTAGTAGTAGTAAAGTAATAAAATAATTCACTTAACGTATATGAATCCGAAAGTAAGGTGTTAAAAATGACAGATTTTGATGTGGGTCAAACTCACACACACACACACACACACAGACAGACAGACAGACAGAAAGAAAGAAAGAAAGAAAGAAAGAAAGAAAGAAAGAAAGAAAGAAAGAATCTATATTTCTGAAATGAGGTATTGTAACTATTTACATATTTACATTGTTCGGACTGTTCATCTTCATCTTTATTGGACACATGGCCCAATAGATAAAAGCGTTGATTGATTGATCTAAAATTGACTTAACCCCAAAGAGTTGTGATTTCAATCCCTGGCCACAGAGCAAAAAAAAATAACTAGTAGAGTTGAGTTATCAAGAAGAATTAATATATAATTAAGATATGCAAAGGCATGGCACACAGAATTAGAACAATCTACCCACAGTGGAGTAAATATGGCAATGAAAATGAAGACGAAAGTCCAAGCAATGTAAATTGATAGATAGATCATGAGTAGAGATAGATAGATTAAATAAAATTAAATGTTCACTTATCCCTGCACCGACAGCGCACTTAATTTTGAAAGTCGTCACGCACACACACAAACACACACACACACACACACATATATATATATATATATATATATATATATATATATATATATATATATATATATATATATATAGTTGGATTGATGTGAATTTGTGACCCTGGGTTTCACGCTATTTGCCATCGTCTGACGATCGGAAATCGCGGGAAACCCAGGTTCACGGACTCACATCAATCCAACTAAATATGTTAGCTCTATCGCTGATATTGAGCGCTTTCCAATACGTACTATATATATAGTAAATAAATAATATATATAAAAAATTATATATAAATATATATATATATATATATATATATATATATATGTGTGTGTGTGTGTGTGTGTGTGTGTGTGTGTGTGTGTGTGAAAAATATAGAAAATAGGAAAGAACTGGTTAGGTAAATAATCCAAAGTTCCTTAGTATTTTTTGTTATTCCTTTAAAAAAATAGTGCTCGATACAAAAGTAGAGCATAAGTATAATTATTTATTTAAAAATATGATTCCAACTCGCGACATAAGAGGTCTCATGTTTCAAAACAAGAGCCGAAAACTTCAATACAATTATTTGAATTAAATTGAGTTAAAGTAAGCTCTGTTCCATCTTTAAGCGAAATTTTTTGGAATAACTTATTTCTGAAATTTACGTGTTTTAATAGTATATTCATAATTGAAATGCACACACACACACATTTCATATATATATATATATATATATATATATATATATATATATATATATATACACACACACATTTCATATATATATATATATATATATATATATATAATATATAATATATATATATATATATATATATATATATATATATATATATATATATAAAGAGAGAGAGGGCGATAAATGCATTTTCCTGTTGGAGATTGTATCGCTGAAAGTAATTAAATATAGACTTATATAGGACAGAATACCACAACACTTTCTCGTAGATAAGGCTAATGTTATTTATAAATTCATTTGACCAACTTCAGATTGTATCTCTGAAAATGTTATATATATATATATATATATATATATATATATATATATATATATATATATATATATAAATAAAAAAATGTATACGTCAATACAAAACGTGCATATATTGTTATGTTATTATCTACAAATAGCCTTTAATATTAATATTTGTAAATAGGCTTAGTGAATGGCTGGTCTGCTTTGAATCACCAGCAGCGGCGGCCAAATGATTTTTCTTCAGGACATGACATGATCATGACGTTGCATTATTCAACAATGGTATACGAGTTATTATGATGTGCAAATGGATCGTCTCAAATGGAAAGAATACAAATTCGTGTCCTCGATGAGAGCCGGCCTTTCTCCTCAGTTTTCTTTATTCAAACAATACGCCTGTTGTTAGTTTGAAGGTACGCGTCTATATTTAACTAACGTCAGACAATAACCATCGTTCAAAAGTAAACACATATAAGTGTGTGTGCGCGTGCGTGTTACGCCCATTTCCCTAACACACACTCAGATAGATAGATAGATAGATAGATAGATAGATAGATAGATAGATAGATAGATAATGAACCGACTGAGGTATATAGATTAAGAGAGAGAGAAAAAAAAGAGGGAGAGATAATGAACAGACTTAGATAGACAGATCGATATATAGAGAGAAAATGAACAGACTGAGATAGATAGATAGATAGATAGATAGATAGATAGATAGATAGATAGATAGATAGCAAAAGAGAGAGAGATTATTACTCTAATAGATGGTTTGATAGATATTGAACAGAGATAGAGAGAGAGAGAAGGAATGAGTGAAAGAGTGAGATAATAAACAGAGTGGAATAAAGAGAGTGAGAATGAAAGAGAGATAATGAACAGACTGAAATAGATAGAGAGAGATTAACAGAATGAGAGATAATGAACAGAGATAGATAGATAGATAGATAGATAGATAGATAGATAGATAGATAAACACTATCTATTCTATGACAAACTTTAATCAGTGCACCTCCCGCAGTGCACTGATTACAATTATGTCTCATTGTAATGCATTCACTCCTCCTCGTGTTCAGTTTACGTTTTGTGCCAGGCTAAGGTTTGTCGAGAATACAGGGTGGGATTGATAAATTGTCATCCAAATTATACAAAAATGAAAATAACACTGACATCTCCTTTTAACAGATATATTTACCAAAATGACACAAAAATATCTTGAAAATTTCTTCAATAAAATCGCCATTGGCTTGAACCACGGCCTTCAGACGACCTCAGAATCTCCTGCAGCTTTTCTGGGCGGTCTCCTTGTTTAAGTTGGTGAATACTGCCACAATCTTTGCTTTCAGTTTATGGTGTTACAAGTGTTGTTGGTCTCTAGATCAAGTGCGTCCCACAAATAATAATATGGTTGCTGTCTGGGGAGTTAGGTAGCCAGATGTAAGCGGTGATGAAGTAACAAAAATACGATCTTCCAGTAGCCACCCTATTGACCCAGAACAGCACTACTTCCTCAAGACACTTTGTTATGGGACCTTACTCATAATAACATAATGGACTATTCCATACGTAATAAATACTCCCTGACTGAACTCCCTGCTTCCTCAAGAGGAAGCAGGGAGTTCAGTCTGAAGTCGAGCGACCGGCTGATCGGTTGAACTCTCTGCCTTCAAGCGGGGAGGAAGCCGAACGAGGCTATGCCGAAGGGCGGAGTCTATTTCGGGGAGGTAAACCGACCCTGAACCCGTTTATACGGGTTCAAAGGGCATATTTTTGGCCGAGCCCACGGGCTCGGAGATCCCACGTTAAACCGGCCTTGTGCCACATGATGCACTCGTTTGACTAGATATCGTTCAGTCTGAAGTCTGGAGTGAAGTCCGTCAGAAGTCTGTCAGTCAATCAGAGCGAGCGAGTCAGTCAGTCGAGTCAGAGGCAGTCCGAAACAGAGTCGCGTTCAGACAATTGCTACAAGACATTGGAATGGTGATACTGGTCGAGACTACATTGTTCTCCCTACTAAACCTGATTGTTCATACTAACACTTTCTACTTCTCTGTATATATTCCTGTTTGTAATATATCTGTGTTATTCATATCGGTGTTCGAGTTCTTTATTGGTTCTACCTTGGACTATCACCGTGGTACAAGGACCTGGACCATAACACACTTGATGTAGGTCTAGGTATTGAGTTTGAAGCCCTTACCAATATAATCGGGAGTTCTTTTTTATCAGAACGACCAGAGTGAGTTTTCTGGGCTACTGTACCTTCGTAATCACCATTAGACTAACACTTTCCGGATATTACAGTTTGTAGTTGCTGTTTAATTTTAAAATTTCGAGAAGCCTTTCAACCGAAAATATATAAATTGCCATCATTTAAAATGAATCTTCTGGAAGTGATAGAAAAGAAATCCGTGCATTTTTTAAATTCAAGCTCTTATTTGAACAATTTCAATTGTACTGAAACATGTGTTAATCTCTAAAGAACTCGAATTTCAGAGCACTTATCAAGTAAAAAAAATCATTCTTTGGCTTCCGAGAAAAAAAGGTAAAAAAAAAATGGCGCCGAAAATTATATTTTTGAATTAATAGATTTTCTTTGATCATCTTTTTTTCAAGACAATCAGCCACACTTCAAACGTGATATTTCTACAAAAATCTTTTACATTGACTTGATGTTATTCAAGGCATAGACGTGCTCGTGGCGTAGTGGTTATCGACGCAAGAAGTAGGATGAACCTGCCGAATTTAATTTACATCCGAAGCCGTTGCGTTCGCTTTCATACAAATACCCTTGGGAAACATATGAATCCACCCCTCCCAACCAGTTAGCTAAGGTCTTGTTGGGCAACCAGCCTAGGAGAAGTCAAACTTAGCCTGCAGAGAGTTGGCATCCGTCAGTCTAACTGCCCTAGAAGGAACCAGAAAACAAACCCTTAACAGGAAAAAAGGGATAAACCTCTACTCCTGTTCAAAAGATCGGGGAGGAATTTGAACCACCCCGTTCTTTTGATCATAAAAAGACAACCGAGTTTTCTCTGGAAATCTAAACTCAAGATTTCTTTAAAGAAATGTTTGCCCGATACAAGGTTTAAGAGCCACTCAGGTAGAGTGTTATTAAATATGTTTTTTGTATGGATGTAAAAGAGGGGAGGAGGAAGTAAGTGTAAATTATGAGGACATTCACGATAAGTAAGGTCTGACCCTAGACATCGAAGAGGTTAAGATTTTAGAAGTCAGGCAAGCATCCTTTTGGGAGTTTGTTCCAGAAAGTATCAACTCTTAGGAAGAAGCTTTCCGTATGGAACTTACCAATGGAATACGAAGAAAATAAAAATAGCCCGCCTCTGTGTCCATAGCAAGTCGGGTTTTCGCTGTGAAGGTCTGAACTAATGGAATTAGCGAATGTAGTGCGTCAGAACATTTTCCCTTGTGACGCTTGGGTTTTTTGGGAAAGGGTTTGTAAAGTAGAAAAAATATTCCATCACCCACAAGGCCGTGGACACGCTTTTGAACTCTGTCGAGTCTGGAAAATGAGAAGTGGGCAACTCCATCCCAGATACTGATGTACTAAGTGCAGCTTAGATGTGGCACAAGGCCAAAAGATTGGAGCATCAAGTGAGGATCGAACACACTATTCAGTCATAATTGATCTAGCGAGACAAGCTTGTTAACCATTAACCAGTCCAGGTATGGCAGCAATACTCTATTTTCTGGCTTTTGTAAAGATAGCGCATGACATTTAGAGTCAGGTACTTTCTGGGTCAGTATAAGGAGGGTTGGATCGTATAGCAGGTGCCAATGCAGGTGCCAATGCGAGGTACCTCTTGGAGAAGTCAACCATACACATCGTGACTGGTGAAAAAGAATTCAGTGTCAGCTTGATGATCATGAAACATCGATATTTTCTATACCTCGCTTAGCCTGGCACAAGATCAGAACAAGTGAGAGAGAGTAGTTCTCAGTAGTTGTTAAAAGCCATACCTCTACTGCAGGAACCGTAATTGTGGTTACGCGGTAAGCATTTTGCCTTTTTCCCCAGGGGGCATCATTTTCTTCTCTCTTCCGCTACTTCCTGTTACCCTGATAGTTTCCGGTTGCATCACCTTGAACTTGACTGTCGGTGAGTAAGAATGAAAACGAACTTTATGTCTACTTTTGACGCCTCAACCTAACGGCTGTGCTTCCTAATTGGAGCTCGGATTGCTAAACAGTCGCGGATTGATAGACAATCAAGTGAGACACATAGACTCTTGTCTTGTAAATGTTGTTCCTCTCGGAAAAAAAAAATCACACTTTCATAAACATTACCGCTGCCTCGAGCCTAGAAAACGGCATGACGAAAAAATATCTATCTATCTGTATATATATATATATATATATATATATATATATAGCCAGGCTCTTTAGGTTCATAGTTAGATTTGCTCTACTTAGTGTATTGAGCACTTTGCTTAGTTATTTTTGCTTTACTCGTGTTGGAGGTTTTTTTCTTTGGACTCTGAGCTTGGATTCTTGTCGATTGTTTTCGCCTGAATTACATGTTCTTAGTTCTTTCTTTTTTTTATTCCTTATTTTCCCTTAGGTTTTGGTTTGTTCATTTACAAGCCAAAACACCTAAGGTATTTTCCAGACGAGTATAATTACTTGTATTTATAAGATTATTGTTATTATTATTATTATTTTTATTTCCTTTGATTTCTGGCGTTTACACATTTCTTTCCGGGTCCCGCCCAGGGACCTAAGGTTAGAAATGGCATCATGACACTTTCCACTAACAAAAAAAAAAAAAAAAGATTACATAGATAAAGCCCTTCGTAAGGTGTGGGCTGTACTTGTCAGAACAATTTTTTGTCTCTCCTTGAGGCATGGACTTCCAGGTATCCCTTCAATTAGTCTACTGGAATCTTTTCCAACCAGTCCTAGGGCTCCAACTACAACAGGGATTGTTGATGTTCCCATATGCCACATTTTCGCGATTTCTATTTCAAGGTCCTTGTACTTTGACAACTTTTTGAATATCTTCAAAGATACATTGCAGTCGGCAGGGACTGCCATATCAATAAGGAGGCACCGATTTTGTTTGTGGTCTTTAATAACAATATCTGGGCGGTTGGCCTTGATTGTTCTGCCAGTGTGTATTGTGTAGTCCCATAGAATTGTAACAGGTCCTATCTCCGTAACCGGGTCTGGGTGGTGTTCATACCAGTTTCTTTCAGTTTTCTTCCCGTAGAAGTTGCAGATTTTCCAGTGCAGATTTTCAGTGCAGATATTGGCCCACTCTGTCATGTCGGGTTTTATATTCAGTGGGTGCCAACACCGTACAAATGTGTGTGTGCGTATGTCTTTATACAAGTAATAATCCGTTGTTATATAATCCAAGTGGATCATAGTAACACAAAATATTAAAACTGATCTACAAAAAGAGCTCAATGTATTTATTATCACAGAGCATTTAAATTACCTAGAATACCTCATTGGAATAGCTATTTCAACCAACAAGAAGACCTATATTGGCATTGTCAACTGTGGGTTGACAATGCCAACTATACAATTACTTACAATAACAATTAAAACAAAGCAATTAATCAAGAGTCCAGAAATTTATTATTAAAATGGTTCTGGTTAATTCTGGTTAATAACAATAAAATGCTATGGTAAACAATAGTAAATTCATTACCGATACTGTTCGAACTTCAAGCTACCTGCTTCAGTGCTTTGCTTTTTTATTATAAGTAACTGTACAATGATTTATTGCCATCCTATGTAGAAATAAATGCGCTTCAATTAAAGGGACACAACTCTCTAAAAATTCAATAGCCTATGTTACAGAAATGTTGGATTTCAAAGTTTTCATTACTGCGATTGTTTTCGGCGATTTTTTACGTGATTTTTGGCGACGAATTTTTTATACGATTACAATTTTTATAACTTGGAAATACAGAGAGAGAGAGAGAGAGAGAGAGGGGTACAATAAAATCAAATCACTACACAGTTACTTACAATAACAATTAAGACAAAGCAATTAATCAACATTTCAGAAATTTAT